AATTAATACAAGAATTAAAGGAAATAATCGTCGTTTTTGTTCAATGTCATAATGTCAGTCTATGACATTGGTAAAATTATGCAGGAATTTTGCGTATATCACAACTAGAGATTACTGACATTTTGAAATCTTTACTTATATAGAGGTAAGATTTGATTAAGCTCTGAAACTATTGAACAGATAAGTGAACTCACTTATCTGTTCTATAGTTCAGATCGGAGAATCAGAGATTTGCCTAAAAAAATCTTATGCAATTTGTATTGTCTGAATAATAATATAATACTAACCCAAGCTACCAGTGGGCATAATTTTATCTATTTCTTCAAAAATTATCGTAATATTTTAGTCTTTTTTTTATAATTACTAACGAATTATAAATAATTAAGATTATGGAATTGACAGGATTTTTGCAGAGTAATTTATCCCAAATTTGTCCAGCAAGAGACATGCCAAATTAGTAATATTACCATAACATCGTTAGTTTGTCGTATCTATGACTAGAGGGAGAGTAAGGAGTTCAGAGCATTTTTTGACGTTTATGTTCACTGTCGATCGTGAGCGTGTTAAGATTTTAGTATGGAATCCGGTACAGCGCCCCTAGCGGTAACTACCAAGAACTACAAATCTCCATACAAATTCTTAACGCGCTCACTAGTGATCGCGTTAGCGCAAAACTTACACTTATCACTCAGATTGCGAATGTAAAAACATAAGTTCATAGTTAAATGAGATAATTATATCATTGAATGCTATTGATATATGTTTTTAATACATTCGACTGGTGTTTTGTTATTTGGCCCAAGAAGTCGACCTCGCTGGCATCCGTTTCATATAATACGACGGAAATCGTATTGATTTTAGTGAAATGAAAAAATAAAGTCAGACGGAATGGTTAATTGAGGAAGGTTAATTATAGATACGCGATAGAATATCAGATCCAAAGATAATTTTGGTCCTGCGTTTTTAATATGACCTTAAACAAATTGATTGGAGATATGTTAGCTTACACGATATGGGAAAGACTTAAAATTATACATAATCATATTTTTTTTATAATTATAACAATACAAATATTTATTAACACATTAGATGCAAAGTTGAAAAAAAAAACAATATTTTCCCTAAAATTTTCATGAGATTTCACCATCTTAATGTTAATAAATGTAGGCCCTTATAATAATAATATTTGTCAATACATATTGCTCAGAGCCCAAATTATTTAGCTAAAGCTAACCTATTCTATGATATCTATACTAAAATTATAAAGCTGAAGAGTTTTTTTGTTTGAACGCACTAATCTCAGGAACTACTGGTTCGAATTGAAAAATTATTTTTGTATTGAATAGACCATTTATCGAGGAAGGCTTTAGGCTATATAACATCACGCTGCAACTATTAGGAGCGAAGAAATAATGGAAAACGCGGACTTAGTCGCTGGCGGCCACTAGTTTATAATAAACCTGAAATAAGATAACATATACGCAGACCCATCTCAATACAAAAAAAATAATTGACCTGACCGGGAATCAAAGCGGAAACCGGAACTTCAGGAGTGACACCTTGAAACCCACAAGCAAGCCACCCTGCCGTGGAGGTTGTCATTTATTTCCAATTTTCCAGCTGTTACGCTAATAGATGTTAGTCAACCCCCGATTACAAACAATAAAGTGTGTCGGAGTTTTCTAAAGATGTATGGTTTGATTTTTTGTTTATCTGTAACAAATAATTAAAAAATATACACGGGCGCGCCAATCCCCTCCCTCACAAGATGCGACCATGTGATGCCCGAGTCCAATACTCGAGTGTCCTTAAAAATTTGCCAATACGACGGTCAGTGGTACAGATGTCCATTAAAGTTTAATGTCACCTTTACATGTCAAACTTGTATGGGTAATGTCGCTTTAAAGTTACGAATATTTTAATGGACGTTTGTGCAACTAACTGTGACTCAAATTTCTTTATTATTATTTTTTGTCATCTTCTATTTACCAAATATATAAACATTGCTTGCGCACTTTTTGCACATTATTCTACTAAAATTGTTTTCTGTGTTTTTCTTAAACCTTCGCATGTTAAATATTTATTAAAATCGTAATATTAATAATAGCCTTTGAAATTAAGTATAATGTGTTATTATTAGTGAATCAGTAACTCCTGAACCGCTCTGGGTAATAATTTAATTATATTATCGTGTTCTGTCGGCAAAACCATAAAGGCATTATGGTTCAGTAAGGATATATCTCCTTAACTAATAGCCGATATGAAATAAAATTAAAATTTAATGCTAACACAATTAATCTCAATTCAATTTGATATTTTATTATTTTTGTTTCATTTCTTTAAAAATGTCTGTACAATAGGGATGATGACTTATTTTTCCAATGTTATTATCAGTTAAATTCGAGTTCATTTATGTGTTAAACATATAAAAGATACACCAGACATAATAGGGATGATGACAAATTTTTGTTTGTTTGTCCGTCAGGTAGAGTGTTAAAAAATATTAAACACGATTTTTTTTTTTCGTTATCATAAAATAACGGCGATACATGGAATTGAAATTTCGCATAACGTCACGTTAGAGTACGTTTCCTACTCAACTGTGACGTAGCGAGCCCCCACTCCTCAACTTTAATGCCTGTTATCTAAGCTATTTCTTGTTAAATTGAAGTAAAAAAAAAATACGTATCTAATATTTTTCTATTATCTGACTGACGGACTAAATAGAATTGCAATTTTTTTACCCAGTCATCATCCCTATTAAGTAATATTGTTCAATGACTTAATACCCTATTTTACAAAATAAATAAAGTACAGGTGATTTATTGTATTTTTTTTAAATACTTGTATATTAAAGATTGCAATCAGCCTGATTTACTAAATGTTATTCTCTATTGAAACAAGCTATTTAGTAAACACGTTGTATGTACTCATGATACTACTTTACCCGGAGATTATCCGATTTTTGTATATATAAAAATAATACCTACGTATTAAAATTAAAAAATATACGCGTATATAAATATAATATTAATAAATATCAAAATTCATATTAAAATATGAAATAACAATAGATAGGTGTAGGTATATGAATAGATTATTATTAAATATCAAAAGTAATATTAAAATATGAAATAACAATAAATAGCTAGTATTCATTTATTTCGTAAAATATCTATTAACAGTACCAACAGAAACTTTATCTATTCTAACTCGCATTCGGAAAGTAAGGTCGTGGTCGAGTGGCTTGCACGCCGGTTATAAGGTGTCGCCTTCCATTCCCAAACAAGTCAATATAATAAATAAACTTTTCTATACTATTTCGGTTCTGGTAATTGTCTTATATGCGTTGTTGCAGATTTTCATTTTCATATTCAGCCATTCATTTAGGATCAGAGCAATACATGTAATGTTTTCTAATTTTTAGATATTTGTTTTAAAATGGGCATTGGAGTAGGTTTTAATAATTATTTTATTAAAGAAGTATATTCAATAATGAGTTTTAAAAAGCTTTTTTATCAGTTGCAATGAATTATAATTGTACGGAACATTAGAATCCACTCGACTTTTGCATTTGGTCTATTTTTTACATTCGGATAACCTTGGATGTATCTAATCATATGTAACTTGTTAAATAATTATACTTAATCATAAATAACAACTTTTTTTATCTTTATCGTTGACGTGTCCCGGTAACATTAAAATGTCCATTTGAACAAAATTTTAATCATAAGTGTAATACGAAAAAACTAAAGACAAAATATTTTTTCAATAAATTTATTTTATAGAAAGAAAAAAAATACAAAAAGGGTTGCATCGGCCGGGAATCGAACCCGGGCCGCCCGCGTGGCAGGCGAGCATTCTACCACTGAACCACCGATGCTACAACTTCGAGTTTCAAATTACCGTTCTGGCGTATCAGCATATTGCATTATCTAAGTGACGTAACAGTCATTCTACCACATGACGCAACTTTCCACTTGTTTGAAGGTTGATATCTACAAAACCGGTTTTACGGAATAGAGGGCAATATTACGTTTTTTATTTTCTGTTTTGAAGATTATGATTGGACACCTAAGTTAAATACGCGCAGCTTAAATATCATTTTTTTACACTAGTGGTGTAGAAAACACATCTTCAGCCTATTAATGTTCCCAGTATTGGAGCACATACCTTTCCTGAGGATGGAATCGAATCTATACGATTGATTGAGGGGATTATACATAAGGGGAGTTTATATTATTTCACAATTTAGACATATTTGCCGAGCCACATCTAGTCACTGGTGGACTAGAAGCCTAATTGTCTAATTTTAAAAACAATCGCAATTCCTTTCAATTTGGTATTTGAAAGGTATTCACGAACGTCACGCTATGTGTATGACGTTTCTTTGAATTAACGATATTGCATTTTTTTGGACGTAAACATTACTTTAAGTTTAAGTTAATAAGTCTTTAAAATGTCTTTTCAAATCACCGTTTGTTCCAAAAGCGAGTGCGACTTTTAAATCGAAAATCTCTAGCACATTCGATATATCTATGAATGGGATTACGTTAGCTGTTACATTTAGACAATTAGGCAACTGCTTCTCTGTCTTGGTCCACGTTTGCTTGGTTTAGATGCCAAACATACACGGGGGGTGATAGAGGCGGGGGGAAACCTATAATTTCAACGTAAACAGTATTTCATCATCATCATCAGCCCTTTTACGTCCCCACTGCAGGGGCTCAGGTCTTCCTTATGGATGGTTAAGGAGGATGAGCCATGACCCTCCACGTTGGCACAATGCGGATTGGAGGGTATTAACGACTGCAAATGCAGCCGGTACCAACGGCTTAACGTGCCTTCCGAGATAATAATTTTTTGGTCGCCATCCCGTGACCGACCCTTGCGAAAGTTGCTTAACAACAAAGATCGCGGGCCGCGGCGCTTATCCACTATGCCTAACAGTATTTTTTTCTAACAGTATTTTTGTAGTGATCATTTATTTTTATTTCCAGGGTACGGCCATATCGCTCCGAAGACCCAGACGGGGAAGGTGGTGACGATATTCTACGCGATACTCGGTATACCGCTGATGCTGCTGTGTCTCTCAAATATTGGTGATGTCATGGCTTCCTCTTTCAGGTAACATTATAGTGTTGACATAGTAGACAAATCCTTACAAACGGGTCTAGCTCGTATAATTTTAATTATATACATTTAACATCATTGACCAAGACTCTTTTTATTTTGTTTTTACGCCGTATATTACTGTTTTATTTAAATACGGCAATTTTTTCGTTAAGAAAATAAACTGCACTGAAAGTTGTTAATATCATGAATGTTATAACATAAATCCGCCTTCTATACAGAAGGTTTATTTATAGTATTCTTGTAAATTATTGCTCTGATATTTTAAAGGCGCTTTCATAATACTAGTTAAGAGTTACATTGTGGCACAAGTGAAGGTATCTCAAAGCTATGTGATTCTTTGACTTATATCTATATACTGGAGTAGGAAGTTTGAGAACTACGTATTTTTGAATGCCAAAACCCCAATATGTCACTTCCTGTCCTTAATTGCATGAACCGGATGATATGGACGCTAGATAACTAGAACTCAGACTGTACCTATATAAAATCCTCACACGATCGTTCCTGTATATTTCTACAAACTACATACACACAATCACAGCTACAAGTTCGTTAAAGTAATATTTTAATTCTAGCCATTCTAGTCTTAGTCACTTTATATAATTTTATTATTTTATTTCTATTAATAACAGAACTTAACTAGCAACATAGAACAAAAAACAGGACTTTTTGTAAAATAAAAATTCATCATCATCATCAGCTCTTTTACGTCCCCTCTGCAGGGGCTCAGGCCTTCCTTATGGATGGCTAAGGAGGATGGGCCATGACCCTCCACGCTGGCCTAATGCGGATTGGAGGGTATTAACGACTGCAAATGCAGCCGGGACCAACGGCTTAACGTGCCTTCCGAAGCACGGAGTAGCTCAAGATAATAACTTTTTTGGTCCCCATCCCGTGACAGACCCTTGCGAAAGTTGCTTAACGACAACGATCGCGGGCCGCGGCGCTTATTCACTACGCCACTGAACTACTCAAATGTTTTTTTTGGAAAATAAAAATTATCACTACATAATTTCGACAATCGCGTCATCTCCATCTCGTCTTGAGACAACTAAAATAGAGTTCCTGTCTTCTAAACATCACGTTCCTGGACTCAAACTCTATTTCTGACAGTATTACAATAAATGGTTTCAATTATATTATTAGATTTTTATACTGGAGGGTGTGCTGTTATGTTTGTACGAGACCACCAAAACGGCGCCATCGTAACCATCAATACAACATGAGGTAAGCAATATAATTACCCCGACAATCAACAATCTAATCACAATATAATTATTAAGGAAATTATAATTTTCTTGATAAATTATTTATTAAGTTTTTAATACAGGGGGAGTCCGGAAGACTTGAACCTCTTTTTACTTGAATTATCATATGTTCGTTTAGATTTGTCGTTAAAAAAAAATTAACATACTACAAACTAGAATAATCAGCAAACACGATAAAAATAGTACACAATACTTACATCGATAAACACGGCCAGTATCTCAAAACTACTAATTATTTAAAATTTATTTTGTAGTGACCAAAACACTTTTCGCAACTTAAAAGCTAAACAAACCAGGCATTTTGTGCAATAGTGACACATACATTATTGGTCTTCCGTACATGATCTACGACTGTATTAATGTTTCATTAGCTTGCAATTTACGTTGAATTTTGAGAAGTGGTTCAACTCACCCATCTGGGTAAGTGTTGGCTGTATAAGCTTGTTCCCCTTAGTCTTTACATAATTAGAAGATCTTTATCTTTGTCAGAGACTAATGCGCGCTATTCTATGTTTTTATGTAATGAAAGATCTTAAATAAAATAAAAGCTCATTCGTCATTTGTAAATGCATTTATTTTAACATGGTGGCAGCGGTGATTCTTTTAGAAAACAAAGTTATCTAAAAAATCTGTAATCATGTCCACTACGCTCGAAGATGTACTACAGCAACAGTCGCAAATTCTGCTGGCGCTTCAGCAACAGTTACAAATGTTAGCCATCAAAAATAATGATACTGGCGCTACTAATAACTTGCATATACCGTGGCCAACACATCTGGACGTCAATAATGATCCGGATGAATCGTTTTGCATGTTTGAATCCTCATGGCGTAATTATTGCAAAGCCACAAAAATGGATACCTGGCCGCTCGACCAAGAACCTAGAAAAGTATCGATACTCTTCAGTGCCATTGGAGAAGAAGCCATTAAAAAGTACAACAGATTTGGTATAAAAATTGATGACAAATACACTTGTGCAGAAGTTCTTAAGATAATGTCAGAAAAAATGGTTTCCAAAAAGAATATCATCCATAATAGATATATATTCCATTGCAAAAATCAAGAAGAAGAACCATTTGACATCTATTTTGCAGAGATTTCAAGATTAGTACATGAGTGCAAATATAGAGACATCGAAATGACCGAGGAAATGTTGAGGGATAAGATAGTCTTTGGAGTAAAGAATAGAAAAGTAAAAAAAGAATTGTTGAAAAGAGATAACTTGACACTACAAGATGCCATTAATATTTGCAAAGCTTCAGAAGCAACAGAAAAACAATTGAAAAGTTTTCCAAACAGTGAAGACCAAGTAAAGAAAATTAAAGAAAAAAAGAGAAAATCCAGTCCAGAGAGAAAAAACAGGAAGAATAAATGTAAATTTTGTGGTGCCATCCATGAATTTATAAAAGGAGCATGTCCAGCCTGGGGGAAAATATGTTCGACCTGTAAAGGGAGAAATCACACAGAAAAAGTGTGCAAGAAAAAGGTCAAAGAAATAAAAAATACTCCCCAACAGACATCTTCACTGCCACAGTCAGCTGCAGACTCTGATTCTGATTGTGAAGATAACATTATTATCAATAAAATCACCAATCATCAAAAGAAAAATTTAGCAGAGTGTTCCTTGAAGTTCAAGTCAGATATCACTACAAAATGGATGGATACTGTTTGTCTGTTGGACACTGCAGCTGACGAGTGCCTTATAGGTTATAAAAATTTAAAAAAAATGTTTAATGAAAATTACATTAGAAAAAATATGAAACCATCTAAGAAAGTTTTATATAGTTTTGGAGGGCACAATATTCACATCCATGGTGAAATAGACCTATGGATAAAAGTCACCAATAAATTCAATTCCAGCCAGTATAAAGTAACATTCCAGGTAGTACACGCACCTCATATTCCATTGTTGTCATGCAAAGCTTGTGTGGACATGGGTTTGGTTCAATTTTGCAAAGAAGTCAAAAATAACTTTACAGAAACTGATCAAATCCTAAAGAGATATGAGTCTGTATTTGAAGGATATGGGTGTTTTGAAGGGGAGATAAATTTAGAAGTAGATACCAATGTGAAGCCTGTTATACAGAAGCCTCGCCGTATTCCTGTGAGTCTCCGCAAACCCCTGCAACAAGAATTAGCTAGATTAGAAAAGGAGGGCATAATAGAAAAGGAGGACATGTATACTGATTGGGTAAGCAATATCCTGTTAGTTAAGAAAAATGACAGCTTTAGAATTTGTTTAGACCCAATTCCTTTGAATAAAGCCATTAAAAGGCCTAACTACCAGTTTACTACAATTGATGAGATCTTGCCTGAACTAGGTAAAGCTAAGGTATTTTCTACCATGGATGTTAAAAAAGGCTTCTGGCATCTTAAGTTATCAAAAAACAGTAGTAAACTTACCACTTTTTGGACTCCTTTTGGAAAATATAGATGGAAAGTTCTACCCTTCGGTATTTCCTCATCTCCCGACTATTTTCAAATGAAAATGTTCAATGTCGTCCAGGGCTTACCGGGAATAGAATTATTAGCTGATGACATTTTAATTTATGGTGTAGGAGATACTATCTTAGAAGCTACTAGAAATCATAATCAAAACTTGGAAGGATTATTACAATGTTTACAAAAACATAATTGCAAATTAAATAAATCTAAAATGAATATTCTCCAGACTTCAGTCAAATACTATGGGCATGTGCTGACCAATCAAGGTCTACAGCCAGATCCAAGTAAGATTTCTGCAATCCAAAGTATACCAACTCCCACTAACAAAAAAGAATTGGAAATTTTCTTAGGCATGGTTACTTATTTGAGTAGATTTATTCCAAATTTAAGTTCTGAGACAGTCCATTTAAGACAATTAACTCATAAGGATAATAGTTGGTCTTGGAATGAGAGTGCTAATAAGGAATTTCATAAGTTGAAATCTATAATTGGTGACTTGCAAACTTTAAAATATTATGACCATAACAAATCTCTTGTAATAGAATGTGACGCCAGTGAACTTGCCTTAGGTGTAGCTATGTTTCAAGAAAATCAACCAATTGCTTATGCATCTAGAGTTCTTACGCCCACTGAAAGAAAATATGCGCAAATTGAGAAAGAACTCCTGTCAGTTGTTTTTGCTTGTACTAGGTTTGATCAATTTATAATAGGTAATTTGAAGACAGTCATTAAAACTGATCATAAACCTCTTCTTACAATTTTTAAAAAACCTTTGTTAAAAGCTCCCAAACGACTACAATCTATGTTATTGTTATTACAACGTTATAATATAGACCTAGAATTTGTTTCCGGGAAAGATAATGTTGTGGCGGATGCATTATCCAGGTTTCATTTTAAGAACACTGACACAATAGATAGAGATGCTAAGATTTTCAAAATTTTTGAAAGTGTCAACCCTATCCAAACCCTTCCAATTTCAGATAGTTGTCTTAGAGAAATAATAATGGTTACAAATACAGATAGAAACTATGCAAAACTAAAACATTTCATTCTCAATGGTTGGCCAAAATTTATTAGAGATGTGCCAGATGCTTTAAAATACTACTTTAGCTTCAAAGATGAACTAACAACTTATGAAAATTTAATATTAAAAGGACAAGCAATTCTCATACCTGAAGGTTTCCGTCAAAATATACTGCAAAAACTTCATAAAGGACACTCAGGCCTAGAAAATACTTTGTCTTTAGCTAGAGAGGCAATATTTTGGCCTACCTTAGCATCTGATGTAAAAGAAATGATTAAGAACTGTCATATATGTATAAAATATGCTCCAAGTCAACAGAGACTGCCCATGAAAAGTGTCAGTGTTCCAGAATATCCATTTCAAATAATCTCTATGGATGCTTTCTTCTTTACAGAAAATGGAAAACAACACAAGTATCTAATAACCATTGATCATTATTCAGATTTTTTTGAGATTGACCGTCTGAAGGACATGTCTGCTAAAACAGTCATTGACATATGCAAAAAGAATTTCGCTCGACATGGAGTACCAGAGGTGGTAATTACAGATGGAGGGACAAACTTCACTGGCCAGGAATTTACTCTTTTTTCACATAAATGGGGCTTCTCCCACAAAACCTCATCTCCCCATCATCCACAAGGTAATTCAAAGGCTGAAGCCACAGTAAAAATTGCTAAGAAATTACTGGTAAAAACAACAGAGAATAAAGAAGATTTTTGGTACAGCCTGCTATGCCTGAGAAACACACCTAATAAGCTAAAATCTAGTCCAGTGCAACGGCTTTTTTCAAGAAGGACCAGAGGAAATCTCCCCATGATACCAGAACTATTATATCCAAAGGTAGTACTCAATGTGGCTCAAGATATTACCTCAAATAAGGCAAGATCTAAACGCACATATGACAAAAGAGCAAAGAAACCTACCTTGTTATCCCTTGGTCAATCTGTGGCTGTACAACTTCAACCATCGGTCAATAAGGAATGGTCTTTGGGAACAATTGAGGACATTTTGTCTGATAGATCCTTTATTGTTAATGTAAACAATGTCAAATATAGAAGGAACCTATCTCACATTAGACCAACTCCAGAAATAATACAAAATAATGAAGATGAAACATTGGATGATGATATTGAATCTAATCAATACTTTAACAATAGATATGAAGAAGAATCATCAACATCAAAGTCATTAGATTGTCAAGAATCATCAACATTAGAAAATTCAGAAACTGTTCAAAGTGCAGACAATATACGTACTCCCTCATTACACAGGAGACATTCAGTACCACCTATTACTCCAAATAAAAATAATAATTCACCGACTATACAGACCTTACCTGACAGTATTTGTACACCTAAAATAGTTCATAATATTAGACCTAAGCGGACAATTAACAAACCTAAATATCTAGACGATTATGAATGTACATGATCTTTTAATTTTATTTCAGTTTATATTAGTCATAATCATACATGTCATAAACGTGTCTAAAACTTTAAATTTTATTATATGTTATTCTTATTTCAATAGAAAATTTAATTCCATTACATAAGTTTATTAAGTTGATTTATGTATGCTATTATATATAACATGTAATATGTTCAGAATTTGTACTTTAACTTAATTTTCAGAAAAGACAACGTGTTGGCTGTATAAGCTTGTTCCCCTTAGTCTTTACATAATTGGAAGATCTTTATCTTTGTCAGAGACTAATTCGCGCTATTCTATGTTTTTATCGTACCGGAATACCGTAAAAAAATCTACGAGCAATGGACAGCAGAAAGAATACTTGTCACTACTACAAAAGGTGCATGGTATGCTGGTATCAATAAAGAAGTTGGCAGAAAACCTTGGTTCGCTATATCCAATGACTACCTCCAGAGGAAATTCTACACTCAAATAAATAGATTGCGATTTGGACATTGTCGATTTAAAGCTCACTTACATCGTATGCATATGATAACATCTCCAGTATGCACCGAATGTTCAACTCAAGAAAACCAGACACTTGAACACATCTTTTTTTCATGCCCAACCTACAATATCCAGCGACTCGTTTTGATCCATCACCTCCTGAAAAGATACAAGACTATCCCGCCTTCCCTTCAGGATCTCTTAGCTTGCCCAGAAAACTTTGTACCGATCTATGACTATATTAGCTCCACTCTTGGAGAAATCTGATTTGACCCTCCCGGATATGTAAAATGATAACCCTGGACAAGACAAAGAAATTTAAAACTAAAGATCTGGCTATCAGCCTTTTAAAAAAAATAAAATAAACAAGACAAGATGGAATAAAATGAAAACAAAAAGAAAAGATTAGGCTTTGCCTTATAAAATAATATAACCCAAGATTTGGCTGTATGGCTTAGTTCCTTCGCCTGTCCCATGGACGAATTATAATACTACTACTACTACTATGTTTTTATGTAATGAAAGATCTTAAATAAAATAAAAGCTCATTCGTCATTTGTAAATGCATTTATTTTAACAGTAAGTCTCCCGGATTCCCCCTACTCATACTAAAGCCATCAAATAATAACATATCAATATTAAATACGCCGCAAAAAATTTGCTTCGTTATGCGAATATTTGGTTTCCAGATTTCTTCTAAATCATAATAATAATCTACTAGTATTCCAGGAGTCCATTTACCTTGTTAGCGTATCCATTAAGAAGACATCCGGATAGAACTTCTCATCATGCTTGATGTTCAAAGCACCCAAATTAAAGAATTCCAAATAAGAGTGTAGTACACGTATTTTTCACGGTGAATTAAATCCCAAAATTTTAAATACCTGTGGTTTGGTCTTTGTTAAGTTTTTTATTTTTTAAGTTTTGTTTACCTTGAAAATTTCGAACAACATTCACAAATATTTTCAGACGAGTCTCTCCTAGACATCAGCTCTAATTTATGAACCTATAAATATTTCCCCTTTAATCTTTATTAAAAATTATTCGCATGATTTTTGGCACTGTCTCCTGCCCTGCGCTTCTGTAAAAATCCAGACCCGAATTCGAATTCACTCATGTGTCCGAATTCCCGTCATTTAGTAAAGAAATCCTATAGATTCCATTTTTTGTATAAAAATATATCATTCATTTCGAAACTCACTTCACTTATGTCACGAAACATTATTACCAATTCAAGTTTGAGCGGATGCCGCTTTTTAAGTGAATTTGGACACTGAGTGGATTCGAATTCGGGTTTTAAGTTTTACAGAATCGCAGGGCTAGTTTTATTCAAACCCATTTTTTGCCGTGGGTTTTATAACTTTGAGTAAAAGTTTGGATACTCTTTTTCTACTTTTTTATGATATTTATGATAAAGATACTTCAAACCTCAAATAAAAATAGATTCCATCTAAAAATATACAAACATTATGTTTGTTTCAAATACTAATGAGAAAACTTAATAATTATACAGACGTTCAGTACGGGGTGTCAGTACGCGGGGCTCGACGCGTCGCCGTCGGCCTGTTGAACGAGCTCACTCTGACACTGACTGCAGGTAAATTATCTAATGAAGATAATCGTTCTTAACCTAATCAATGAAATCAAAAAAAAAATGTGGTATTATTTCTCTCGTTCAGTTGTTTCTCTTTATTACGGTTTTTTTGCGTCGGCTTAATATCTAATTAGGAAATTTAATGTAATTTTTATTTATAATTAATTTAAAGTGTTATTAAGAGAAGTAAAAAGTAGCACTATCAGAAATTGTGTCTCAAGTGATTATCTATTTGCTCTTACCTTACATGATTTTTGTTTTTCATAAGTATCTGACACCGCCCACAATTCGTCATCATCACAGCTACTGTTGGATTGTCACTTCATGTACCTTCTCAAACATAGTCTGAGGGCGTTTTCTTCGCTAACAAATTAAACGAGGGCGTGAAATTGATTATGTCAATCGTGTTATGCTGAACCATTTAAAAAATCGTTAATTATTAGAAAAATATTTGTAATTGCACATATATTAATGGTATAACATGCAGATACCGAGACAGCGGCTACAGCAGCAGTCGTGCACGTCGCTCCCGCGTCCCCGCGCAGATACATCCACCAGCCCAGCCGGCACACTCGCGGCCGCGTTCACAACCGCCCTCGATGCACACAAGAGGCTACGGTAACTGTGGTCTATACAATTGCTCAAGATAAATAATAAGTTAAACTCCACTTCCGAGCCCTACTACTACTTTGACAAGTAGTGGATGTCAACAACTACAGATTTAGCCAAGCCCTAGAGCTAAATGTGTTAATCAGAACAGGGAGTAGTTTGAAATCATATATTTTATCTACGCATGTGATGACTGGCCTTTACGAATGTTGCTTAACCTCTGCAATCCGAACTGAACACAATAACCACTGCCACATCGAGCTTCTACAGTGACGTTATTTTATTATCTTATCACACCATTTTGGTTTGTTTGATAAGTAATATAGATGATTTGCCTATAAAATATAAGATTTGACCAAAATATCATCATCAACTATTACTGTCCATTTTGCTGAGACACCGACCTTTCCTATGGATGAAATCAATTCTAATCAGTACAGATGGGTGGGTGTTAACGATTACAAATGTAGCCGAGACCAACGTTGTAACGTGCCTTCTGAAGCACAATAAAATTTTTGGTCACTCATCCTATGATTAACCTTTGCGAAAGTTGCTTAACTTCCGTATCGCTAATCACTGCGTCATTGAGATAAAAACATAGTCGGTTTCAAACCATCAATAAACTAACCGAAGCCGAATAAGAACTATTCTAAGAATAAACAATCCATTCAATTTGTTATAGGAGCAAAAGACTTCGACCGAGAGGACGTATCGCCAGTACAATATGAAAGATACGACCATGACAACTATGAAGACGAAGAAGAAGGTAGTATCAGTAATTAATTAACTTTATCTTTAAATATTAATATTTTGACGTTAAAGTGTTAAACAAAGTCACGCTTAGCATTTTTCGGCTGAAATTTTGTTATAATTGTGGACTAATCTATGTAATACTAAATCAAATAGTAACAAGTAAGTAGGCACTTTTGTAAGAAGCAACATGAAATTCAACTAAAGATTCGCAGGGGGTGATAACAATCCGCAATTGATAAAGCAATTGATAACCGTCAGCAATCGATTACACTGAAAACAAAATTATTTCATTAAATTACCTTATATTTTGAATTTCAGAGGAGTTTCCAAAAATATCTTTGCCACTACAAGACTTAGAAGCAGCTTTGAAAGATCTAGATAATCACCAAAAGAAAATTTCATCTAAAAGTGAACTTCGCAGCAAATCTCTTCCGAGACCATTCAAAGCTAGAACTGATTTAACTCCTGGCACAGAATTTGATGAGCAAAGGCATCATGATAGAGACGAGCATAGAAACATGCACGATCTTTCAGACGTAGATTTTGAAAATTACCGAGAAAAGAAAGCTTTAGAAGAAAGAGATAGACGATTTAGAGAAAGAGATCAGTATTATAATATTAGAGATCACGAGTACGATCCAGAAGACGAAGATTTTGAATTTCAGGCTCCGAGATCTAGAAGACCACGCTATGATTGGAGGTATGAGTAGCATATTCATACATTTCGCTGTGTGACGTTTTTGTATTATCATCTGCATCATTCTTTATATCCATACTGCTAGCTCTGCTAGGGCATAGGCTATCCACAGGGATGAAGTTAAATATAGTAAGTCACAAGTAAGATATTTCGCATTTACAAAAACATATTTTTTATTTAGGAGTAGCACATTGATCTAGATTTTTTTCTACTAAGCAAATATTTTAATATCTAGGAAGAAATAATAAAATTATTTTGAACTATTACAGATCAGACCGTGGTCGTTCAGAGTTCTACGAGCGTGATGAGTATTTACCAGAACGACGGCGGGGGCGCAGAGCTCGGAGCGCGATGGTAGAATGCGAAACACGCTGGGAGGATGAGTTCGAAGACAGACGTTTTGACCCTGGCCGGCGTCGTTTAAGACGTCTACACACTGTAGAAGATAATGTCCGACCATACAGGCACTATGTGAGTTTGTATTTGTGTAACTAAAAAATACATTATCCGATTACATTATAATTTCTTAAAAGCTATTAGAACTTAAAATAATAGAATTTAATGTTTAATTTTATTGAATTCGTCATCTTCGAGTCTGATTTTATTACAGGATAACATAAATGTGCAACGTGATAATTAATGTTAAAAATTTCCATTGAGTCTTGGTTTTTTTTCACGTTACAAAGCCCCTTACGATGTTTTTTACGAAGACAAATTTATAAAATTCTTATATTTTTAAAATTTATCAGTATGTTGAATGTAAAATTTATCAAATATAATAATTCTTTTATTTAATAAACTGATGTTGCTTGGCAAATCACAAAATTTACTAGTAAAACGTAAGATAATTTGACTGGATCTTATAATATTTTTTTTATTTTGAATTGGAGACCGATGAATTTATTTTCTTCTCATAGACTCCGTCTCCGGAACAAGATGAATGGAGTGACGATATGATCGCAATGCCAAGAAGAAATCGACCGCCTGGTGATTATGATTGCACTTATTTTCTGATTCCAAAACTTAATTGGAATTACTTAATTTTATAAATTTTGTTCCAGTGTGGGGTTCTCGCCAATCTGAAATATATACTATAGAAGCACAAAATAAAGAAGAGGTTTGTAAATTTATTTTAAGAGCCTTTTTAAATGCTATTGAAAGAAGGTTTTTTTCTCGTATCGTTTACAAAATGCGCATCCAAAGCTCGGTTTGCCATTGTGTTAATATTTGCTAGAACATGACATTCTAGGATATACGGGATTGTTATATCTTAGTTGATTTTGATTGAGCGTTTTAGCTACTTATGAGAGAATAGAAATGTATCAACACCGTTGTCATTTTCTTTATTCTTAAAAATATTAGTTACGAGACTTTTCTCGCGTTAATTATAGCCGCGTATGATGTAGTTTCAAGTAGGTGGAAGAATTTTAAAATTCGATCCAGTAGTTTTGGAGTCTTCAATACAGACAAACAAACAACCAAATTTTTCATATTTATAATATCAATACAGATGAACGGGAATGTTATTTTGGCAAAGATCGACGTCCCCACCGCAGGGGCTCAGGCCTTCCTTATGGATGGTTAAGGAGGATGGGTTATGACCCTCCACGCTGACCCAATGCGGATTGGAGGGTATTAACGACTGCAAATGCAGTCGGGACCAGCGGCTTAACGTGCCTTCCGAAGCACGGAATAGCTAGAGATAATATTTTTTTGGTCACCCATCCCGTGTCCGACCCTTCCGAAAGTTGCTTAACGACAACGATCGCGGGCCGCGGCGCTTATCCACTACGCCACCGAGCTACTCTAAAGATGTAAATTGTTGTAGATTAAGCCAGTGCCTATATGGTTATGCGTGTTCCTGGTAGCTTCATACATTGTGGCGGGGACATTCCTTTTTAAGCGCTGGGAGAATTGGGAATACCTGGACGCAGCGTACTTTTGCTTTATCACACTCACCACTATTGGGTTTGGAGACTTCGTGCCTGCGCAAGTTTGTACATTTAATAAAATTAGTAATAAATTCAAATAGCTTAAGCTAATCAGAAAATTAGTGATATGTTTGAGATTACAGATGCGTCGAATAGTGGTTTCACCGAATAACCGAATATAGAATAATATTCGGTTTAAGCTTAACCGAACCGGATATTCGGCCGAACAATTCGGTTTACTGTTTTATTGTTTTTATTTAGCCAGAGTATTTCTCAGCGCTCTTGGTAGTATAGCGTGTGTATAGCAAACGATTATTTCGGAAGTATGCAATCGATTATGAGCCAGGGTGAAAACGCAGTTTTGCTTTGAAAATGACGTCAATCCAATTATATACGTCAGACTATTTAATAGTTTAAAAAATGTTGATAGCTAATTTCTAATTTCCGTAAACTGTCTACATCTACTTTCTTGCACAATATTGAGCCCTCAGGACAGCATTCTCCAACTAATATAAAAAAAAAGTATATTAGTAGTGTCAAGTATTAATTAATTACAAGAAGATTATAAAATGTTTAGTCTCATAGTTAATTAATGTAGGTCTAAGATGGATCTGTTCGGGCGAAAGTGCCAATTTCTATAGTCATTTTGTTCCACCAGGGATGGACCTTCGACTGAAGAGTTTATACGGACAATGAATCCCTTTCCACCAAGGAAAAATAGTGCCCTGATTTTATTTTTATTATCTCTTTTTGCGTATCTGTTTATGATATTTATGATACAGTCTGCTTAACGAATACATCGTGACTGTTTTTGTTAACTTCTGAAATACCCTCTCTCACTTTTATGGATTAACATTGAAATGCGCATCGCACTGTGTACCTGGGTAATTCCTGAGAGGCTCAATTTTGGATGTCAGGAAAGATATCTCGTATATTTAACTACGTTTTTTTTTCTCGTATTTTTTCAAATAAAGTTTGAACTATAATCTTGTTGTAAAACTATTTATCATAAAGAAAAAGACTTTATTAAATAGTTTCTTTATTTTTCAAATGACTGAAAATTGACTTTCCTGGATTGTCCATTTCACGTTTTTTCTGGAACAAATGCTTACAGATTTTTTCGTAAATATGGAAACATTAACGAGTAAAGTAAATTCGTTTGGTAATGAATTGACGAATCAAATAATAGTAATTTAAATCTTGTAATATATTTAAATTCATCTATTCTTCAAATTTATAAGTTGTCCGAGACCAAACGTTGACTTTCCTGGTACATCAGTAAAATGCGCGTACATTACTATCTGTCGATTTCTGTTACTTGCTGTACCTCCCCACGCGGAGTGTAAGCCGCATATCAAGTGTTATGAGGAGAGGTTGTGCGGCTCGTCGTCAAGTTCGCGAAATATTTAGGTAAGAAATTGATTCTCCTGCTATTGGTTTTGGTTTACTATTGATTTTCCTGGTTTTGTTTCTATAGATCCTGTTTGTTGTTATAATCTCAGTTTACTTTAAAAACATGCTTTCTCTATTGACATACTGTTGTGTAAAATAGGTTTAGCTATCCACTATCTTTGAACAGCTATTGACGATTATGTCATTTTTATGATTTTCCTGTAGTTCATTTTCCTGGATATTTAACCAGAAAAATCAAAGTTTCCTAGGAAATTCTAGTTTAAAAGCGGTCTAAAGCCTATATTAGTCATATATTTGAATTTTAAAGTATAAACAATGCCAAATCCTAACTAAAATATATATTTATGATTAAAATATTGAATTTGGTGTTTTACTTTTGATTTTAAAATACTGAATATGAGTATTGTTTGTTCTATTTTCATTACATTTACATATTCCACGTTAAATTTCCCAAGATGAGTACTAAGTCAAATAAAAAACCACCTCGGCTCTCTCATGGACGGCAACAGGAAATAATCAGCTCAAAATAGATATATATATATATTACTTGAATTCACATTTTGTATATCACAATACACCGAAGCAAGCAAAATAAAGAGGAGATTTTGAAAAAAAAGAGAGAAGCTGAAAGTCGTCGATACGAACTAATAAAAAATGATGCTCAGTGTAAGGCTTAGCTAAACGAAAAATCTGAAACAGAAAAGATCCGGAAAAATAATACCAACAACAAAGAAAAATTAAGAAAGCAGAATCGTTTAAGTTCGAATACAATAATTTAAAGAAGAAGATGAGACAGCTGTAAGAAAACCATGATTTAAATAGAGTACGCTTAGAAGGAGAAGACCACCACGTAGAGTGTAAGAATCCAATAAGTGACGATAATCCTTTAAGACTTTCTACTTCTGTCTTCTTCTTCTTCTCAGCCATAATCAACCAATGAATTGGTGTAGGCCTCCCTCAGCCCCCTCCACTTCTCTCTGTCTTGGGCAGTAAGAGTCCAGTTGCTGCCTGCCATCCTTGTGATGTCATCTTTCCAGCGCATTTGTGGTCTTCCCCTTGGTCTTTTCTGATCCCATGGTCTCCAGCCCAATATCCGCTTGCACCAAGAGTCTTCTTTTCTGGCTATATGGCCGGCCCACTCCCACTTAAGCCTTGCCACTCTACGAGCGATGTCGGTGACTTTGCTTTGGTTTCTAAGCCATACGTTCGTCTTTCGATCTCTTATAGTGACACCAACCAACTTTCTCTCCATTGCCCTTTGCGCCACCCTCAGTTTATTTATTGTGTCTTTCGTATAAACCCAAGTTTCAGATCCAAATGTTAGTACGGGGAGGACGCATTGATCGAATATTTGAGCTTTTTGCTGGGCTGTTAGTTTCATTTTGAAGACAAAGTCGAGTTTTGAGAATGCTGCCCAACCCAGTCTTATCCTTCTGTCGATCTCGCTACATTGGTTTGCTTTCCCTAATTTCACTTCCTGGCCCAAGTAGACATATTTCTGAGCCCGTTCTATTTCCACTCCCCCTACTTTGATCGGTAATGTGCTGTTTGTGTCGCTTGTCATCACCTTTGTTTTGTCCAAGTTCATTTCTAATCCAACTTTTAGGGACGCAACCTGTAGTTCTTGGATCATTCCCTGCAGCTCTTTCGGGGTGTGTGAGAATATGACTATGTCATCTGCGTATCTTAGGTTTGATAGATATTCCCCTGATACTGATATCCCTCTATTCTGCCAGTCCAGCTCTTTAAATACGTCCTCCAAAACCAATGTAAAAAGTTTGGGCGACAATGTATCCCCTCTACTTCTGTAAGTGGTGCCAACTTTCCAGCCGCAAGTTTATCAATTTCTCCCGCTGTCACCAGAAAGAAGTCTCCTAGAAACAATATCATTGCTCGATTAACAAAACGATCCAAAAGATCATTAACAAAATTGTTATCGCAAGCAGCAACAAGCTGTAGGGAAACTACTCGTACGTACAACACAGATCAACAAGGCATTGTTTGTTCGTCTCCACCACCTTCACCTACCAATAATCAGTTTCTTCTATTTCTCAAACAACATCTGATTCATTAAATCTATCCACTCCTCGAAGGTCACTCCATTCGGCTAATCACTACCCTTACTACAAAGCAGTCCATAAAAAAGAAATCCCCTTGGAAACATTTGTTGAGAAAATTTAGATAAAGAATAAATACTAATTTCAAACTTTGATTGTTGCATTTAAAGTTAAGAACAGTGATTTTCAATGAAATTTGTTTCATTTCTTGATTTTCCTGTGCGTCATTATTGATTTTCCTGGCCACGAAATTTCAAAATCAAATGTCTTGGAAACCATTGAACAGAAACGGGTGCCTATCAAAAAATATTATAACTGAGGCTCTTAATTTTAACCCTGACCCAAAATATATTCGTTAATTTGAAATTTCAAAATGACCAGGAAAATCAACTCAAAAACGCCATTCTCAGGAATCACCCACCTATAATGTGCTGCTTATTCAATCTTAAGTTGTTTATGTTGCAAAAAGTATGGCGTCTTCATTCATTCTTCATATATGCTTTATATTGATACCAGATATTTTCTATGGTGTTGAAGAGCAAGGTACTATAATCTATCAATTTAATTAGAGCCACCCACTGTATACAGTCGTAACGTTAGCCCTTGCCTTTTTACATGAAACAGTGACAGCGTGTCTTCAGTCCATCATAACCTTTCCAATACCCAAGTAAATTACTAATCCCGTCCATAGACACTACTTAGCTTAAGTATTACAGCTGAAGTTATGTCGAATCCTACTACTTTACATATAATTCTCTCATTTCCGATTTCTTAAACTTTGTTCTTTAAAGTCTTAAACCGGTTCTTGACTAGATTGTTATATATTTCAAGTGTATCACCTCGGCAGCTTCTTGTATCCACCAGTCTTTCTGAATCTGATTATTTACCAAATCAGACCGGTTCCACTTTTTGGTCTTTAAACCTCCATTTTAATTGTACTCAAGCGATTTCTTTTATTTTTATTATGTAAAATGAGGATATTTTGAGCTTCGATAACAAAATTTGTCAAATCCCTAAAAATTAAAAATTACATGGAATTTAGGAAAAATCTCAGTTGCTGAAATTGTTTTTTTTTTTTTGCTTATCTTTTATCTCTGATCTCTATTAAATGTTTATAGTGTCTGTCTGTCTCTATCTCGATTATGGTGTCTTTTTTTGACAATTGTCCCTAAAATAAATTCATAAACAAATAAAAAAAATATTTGAAGCTTAACTATAAATCTTGACTATAATTTAAAAAATAAATATTTTTAATTTCATAGTATTTTTTAATATAATATAAATCTTACAAAAGAAGTTTTGTCTTTATGCCGTAATGTGTAACCAAAAAAAAGACTTGTAAGTACTTGAACCGAATATATTCTGCACCAAAACCGAATATGCGGCCGAATACAAATAGTGGGAAAGATGCCGAATACGCTGAATATGGAATATCAAACGAATAATCGGCGCATCTCTAAATGATATATTCATATCACGAATTTACTGATAGGCCTTGAAGTATTCATTAATCAAAGTGTTTTGATTTTTTAAGTTTTAATCCTAATTAATTGAAGTACTTAATAAAAGTACTTAATTATTTAGAATAGCAAAGGATTTATGCACTACATAACATCTATTTTAAGAATTTGTGATTATTTATGATATTTTCTATTGTCAGACTTTCAATTAAAAGACTAGAAATAATGTTATTATATCTCTTTCTCTTTTTCCGAAAGGGTCAAAACATGGAAGACTCGGCAGCAGCGGTCCACTCCATTGCCTTATGTTCTCTGTATCTTCTGTTTGGAATCGCATTGCTGGCCATGTCCTTCAACTTGGTGCAAGAAGAAGTACGCGCTAACGTAGCCGCACTCGCAACTCGTCTCGGCATCATTAAACCAAGGGAACCAGATCCTGATGCCGATTATTGACTTTACCGTAAAATAATGAGGATTCCCATTAATATCACAGAAGTGCTTTATTTTTATAACGACGCATATAATAAATAAAAAGGCTCTGAGAATTTTCAGAGGGCTCGATCCAATCAATGCATTTAATGTTATTTTATAGTTATGTGAATGTGATAATGAAATATGTGAACGTTATACTATTTGGTGTGTTAATTACAAAATTACCAATCGACTTGTAATAATATTATTTTATAAATACTATTTAAATTTATTAAACTGTACTAGTTGATAAGTATTGGAAATAAATTAGTCTTTAACAGGGGTATCTTTATTAAGTACCAAATTAAATAAATAAGGATTCATTTTTGAATCCTTGGAAACTCTTTCGGTTGACAAAATATTAACATTATTCCTTTAATTTTTCAAAACTAAAATAATTGTAGTTACAAAATTATCATTTCTATATTGAAATTGACAATATATCGTCGCACCAACAAATATTTGTAAGTTAATTTCAATGCCTTTCCTTTTAACAGACACCAAAAGAATCTACGTGGAAAACTAATAACCTTAGTAATAATAGATCAATCAAGTTTAACCCAAAAATAATTTTAACCAATAAAACACACGAACTCAAAATTAAAATTGAACTAAAAATAAAAGAAACAACTTTTAAACGGTTTCTTTTTTATTGACTTTTCGGTCCCTTTACAGATAACGTGTTCACATAAGACTAAGGTGTTGATTGTCTTTTTAATTAAGAGTATAGCCACCTTCATAACAATACTACTGGACACATTCACATTTTTTAAAATATATTTTTTGGAAACGTTTATATTTATTAAATTTGGGACTCTTGTCTGAGAAGAACATTATAAGCACTTATAATCAAAATATGCGCTAAGATATCGCATGCTTTGCTTAGAGTTATAGCAAGAGGATTAGGCGGTCACATCCCTGATAAATACTTTCCTGAAAAATGGAATTTTAATTGTTCAGAAACCTGCGAATCAGATGAACATTATTAATGTACTTATTAGATATAGATTAGATTAGATTTATGAGGGATCGTTAATGGCTATATTATTGAAGTTAATTTATTCAAACGATATAGAATGGCCGATAAGCTTTATTATCTATAATTACCTTTTTTGTTATTTACAATAGAAGTTAAAAAGTAATATTTTCGTAGTGGCGGTATACCACGTAGGTTCTTTGTGATGTCAACAGAAGAAAAAGGTGGTGTACAAGTGACGAATAACGGAGGAGTAAATAATGGTGTGGATTTGGACAGTATTCTTGTCAATGAAGTTGGCCAGTTCGGAAAGTATCAGATTGTGACCCTACTGCTGGCTGCGATACCCGTTATATTTTCGGCATTCGCGTCCGGCGAATATATCTTCACTACCGCTAGGATACCAACTAGGTATTGATGTATTTTTAATTAACGTTAAATCATAAAAGTTATTCCAAATTGTATATTGATCAAACGATTATACCTGTCTTTTTATAACCGACTGAAATCGAACCTTACACTGAGCCGAAGTCACTTTTGTTAGCACACAAACACTTGATCTCTATATGCATTAACTGTTTATTGTCTTGCTTGTTTTGTACTGGGTTGACAAAATAAATGCTTTATTATTATTACCCACGATGTCATAGATAGTAAAACAAAATAAACGGGCGTCCTGCTTTTAAAAGTAATTGCCTAAAGATAATTTGTGGAGTCAGAGTTGGCACCAGTTAAATTAGAAATTTCATACAAAAAGATAAGGGAAGGCAAAATATAAGTAATTCAGAGTTTATTATGTTAAGTACACGTGCTTAAAACGACTTCAAGCCGCGGGAGTCACAAACACGTATATGATCGTATCGTAATTCAAGATGTTAGAATTGATTAGCACATGATTTGTCCATTTCAAGGTTATGTTTTAGAGTACAATATTTCTGGTCACTATTGGCTGACCACTCAAATCGGTTATATTAATTTCAACGATTACTAAAGCGCAATTCAAATTGCACCCAAAATAACGAAACCATGGCTAACATAGCATAAAATATCAGCATCAGCATCAGCCCTTTTACGTCCCCACTGCAGGGGCTCAGGCCTTCCTTATGGATGGTTTAAGGAGGATAGGCCATGACCCTCCACGCGCCTCCACGATTGGAGGGTATTAACGACTGCAAATGCAGCCGGGACCACGGCTTAACGTGCCTTCCGAAGCACGGAGTAGATCGAGAAAAGTTTTTTTTTTTTGGTCACCCATCCCGTGACCGACCCTTGCGAAAGTTGCTTAACTACAACGATCGCGGGCCGCGGCGCTTATCCACTACACCACCGAGCTACTCGCATAAAATTTAGTAATTATTATTATAATTCTCACAACCAAAATACCAATATCGTTATCATAAATCATCTAAGTAACGTCCAGTATGTACGAGATTCAATAATTGTTACAATTACACAAAGTACTTCATTATAAATGAATATTTTAATTAATATTTAATTTCATTCTTATACAGTACTAATCATGTTAAAACGATATCCATCCAGAAAAGTATAGAATTATCTTAATAACACTTTTATATATCTATCTATCTAAATGTACATGCTAAGTCTATGTTTGATCCCTTGGGGGTTTGGTAGAGAGTGCTACTACCACTGTTTTCCACAAATAGTCCTTACTTATTTAAATTTTATGATTCTGTACATAGAGTAATGTGGAGCCACAAAAGAAATGAAAGAAATGTGAATCTGATCGGTAAGTTACTCTATATTTGGACTTGTCCTTGTTAAGGTTTAGGTTTACATTTCCGTGTAAAAAAAATTGTCCAGCTGTACGGACAAGAGATTGAATTATTGTGGGGGTGGGAGTCTTTTACGTCCTTGCATTTTCACATAACAAAACCAATGCAGCATTAATTACAAATTAACTGATAGTCCTTATTATACCATAAGCTTTGATTATATTGAAAGCTCATGAAAACTGTCTTTTGTATTTGACAAAAGACAGTTTTAATTGTAAGTAAGTAAGAATTATAATAATTAAGATAATCTGAAATAAAAATCTCAAACTAATAAATATAATTTGCAAAGGCACACCGCCACGATTAGATTACTCGCGTATTGTATACACGTTGTATCAGAGCCTGTAAAAACCCACAAGTAGATATAAAGAGAACTGTGACAAGAATAGAGAATGAGTCGTTTAAAGCTTTCATGGACATTTACATTAGAATGATAGTTTTTTACGGGATTGCTTGATTTTTGTTCAGTCCCTGATTTCAGTTCGAAACGAAATTTCAGTTTTTCACAAGCGACATGATGAAGTTTTTGCGGGTGGGTGTTATAGGGAAATACCGGGTAGCAATCCCGCAAAAAAAAATAATATCATACATTCTTATGATATGACACGACGACTAAATTTAATAATAATAAAATTTTATAACACAACAAAATAGAGCAAAAAAAACAAAGATAGCGAAGTAAATAGCGGCTTTATCGCTTAGAAGCGATCTCTTCCAGGCAACCGCAAAAAAGAAATTAGATACGGAGAACAATTAGTGTATTTGAGCAAAAGTATACACACACACAAACACACACAAGCACAAATACTTAGTACTTGGCTTAAATCATTGATCGCTTATATCAAATTAACAATGACAAAGGAGAAAACATCAAATGATATTTGTTGACTTATTTTGATTGGTTTAAACCTGGTACTAAAATTAGTCCTACTTTAACAATAAGACGGAATATTTAAATTCGTTGAAGTCAAAACATAGCGTACAATTTGTGATTAATTACTTTGTCTTTCATATATGTTATCATTATATTGTAGGTACTATGGCCTTACTTTTTATTTGATAAGCACGAGATACTTGGATTACAATCTTAATAAGTAGCCAATTAATGGATAAGAAATTATCAGTTTTATTTTTATTGTAACCGATAATACTCGGAGGAAAAGGTCAAACGAAATTTTCCTTTTTAAGGTGCTCGTCCACTGCCTCAGCACGCAGGACACTAAGCATTGCACGGATTTATCGATGTCAAATGTCCACTGTGCTTACATTTATTATTGATGCTTCTATGAGAACTGCGACTATGAGTTTTGACGTAGTATGCTGATGATGTCATAGCAATTTTGATTATAATCCGTTGCGTGTCGTGCGACCCGTGCAGGCGTCCTGACATATGGACATTCATCTTTATTTTTACCTGAAGAATAATATAGAGTTTGAGTGTGCCATTACAATAGTTACATTTTGTCTTAGATTTTGAGCAATGAAGTTATTAGTTTGATTTGTTTCACAGGATAATAAGCGTATTGAAGAACCAGAACAATTTTTTGATAGGTACCTATTCATTAATATATAAGTAGATAAAGATATTGATAAGAATTTTACTATCAAGTATATTATTTTAATGAACTTCAAAGCATATTTTCAGATGCTTGATTCCACAATGTGACGGCTCCGTCCCTGACTTTTCGGCATCATGGGCTTCAACCGCCATTCCCACTGTGAATGGACAATTGGATCAATGTTCCCGGTTCGCCAACAGCACATTTCAAGAAATATTGCCAGGAGAAACCTGTCCAGCTACGTTATTCGACCAAACTACTGTAGAAGCCTGCGAGAGTCATGTATATCAGAACACTATCAGCGTGGTTTATGACGTAATTGTTTTTATTTCGTTTATAATTGAATTTATTGAAATTACTTTATAGTTATCTCAATCGAATAATATGTTTTTGTTTTTAATATACTTTAAAGTTTGTTGAAAAATTAAACGTCTTTTAAAATTGTTCACTTTTCTAAAAGAATAAGAGTTCTCACTTTTTTTAAATAAGTTGTTCAATTAATTATTATTTTATTAACTCGGTTGTAGTTTGGCTTAGCATGCGATGAATGGCGACGTTCCCAAATCGGTTCGATCAGAACAATCGGCACCCTCCTGGTGCTGCCCATCACCGGTTATATTTCCGATCGCTGGGGCCGGCGAGTGGCCCTCACCATTAACGCTTTCAACACTGGGTGGATCGGTCTTGTCCGTGCTTTCGTCAACTCCTACGAGTGGTTTCTAGCGCTTGAGGTTATTGAGTCTGCTGTGGGCGCTGGCGCTTTTTCCTCTTGTTATATTTTAGGTAAGTTGATTGAGTGAGCATTAACTCTAGCAAGACCATAAATGAGCTAATACCACGAGTATTTTATTTAATGACTCATAACTTGAAGACATCTTCAGAGCATATTTTCAGATACTCGATTACTCTAATGTGACAACCCTATTCCTGACTCCTGTAGCTGAGTAATGCACGCTGGTTTCAAAGTCACTCTCTCTCTCTCTGAGGGCCTTGGTTCTATTTCCGATTGGGTCAATGTACAAAATGGACTTATCTATATTTATTGGGTTTGGGACAACTCCCGACCAGGTACATTCGTTGTCTCAGACTCCTTACTACTCATCTAGGAATCTGAGCAATATATGTAGTATTGTTTATATTTATTTATTTATTTTATACTCATACAGTAAAAATGGAGTATATTTCATTAATTATTAGCTTTCCGCCAGCGGCCTCGATCGCTTGGTCCCTAGGGAACTGTCTATTTGGATATCGATCCATATCATGACACGGATATAATAACAATGACTAATTGAACAGCAAAAATGGTAACGTTTAACTCCCTATACAAACTTCCACTCCCATTTTCATACCTTCATTTGTTGTTTTTCGAGACGAAATATAGCCCATGTAGACCGCCTCTTGAAAGTGAAAGAATTTTTAAAATTAGTCCAGTAGTTTCAGAGCTACCAGTAGTTTCTTGCAAACAAATAACCATATCTTTCCTCCTTATAATAGTAGTATAGGTTAAAATAGTATAATTTTCTTGCTCATTAAGAATTTGTATTGAAAAATGAAATATTAATTACAGTGACAGAGCTGGTGGGACCTAAATACAGAGTTATAGCTGGAGCTACAATATCGACAATGTTCGCCGTCGGCCAAGTTATACTGGGCTTCATCGCTTGGGGTGTCCCGCAATGGAGAACTCTCACACTGGTGTTATATGCACCACAACTTCTAGTCGTTTCATATTTCTGGATCTTATCTGAATCCGTACGGTGGCTGATGAGCAAAGGCCGTTTCGAAGAGTCAGAAAATGTCCTCAAGAAAGTAGCGAGATGGAACAAAAAGGAATTGTCCGACAAATCTTTGACAGAACTTCGGGCATCTGCTGAAGCAGAAAAGAATATGATAAAACCTAAAGAGCAGTGGCTGCCGATATTGGTTATAAAATCGCGCGTGATATTATCTCGGTGCCTCGTGACCCCTATCTGGTGGATCACAAACACGCTTGTATATTATGGCATGAATATAAATGCCGTTAACTTATCAGGAAACTCTTACCTCAACTATGCCATCGTCGCAGCTATTGAAATTCCTGGCTATTGGACCGCCATTCTTCTGTTGGACCGCATTGGTCGAAAGCCAGTCTTAATTTGTGCTTACTGGTTATGCGCTGTCTGCCAGTTCACATTTGCATTTTTACCAGAAGGTAAAGAAACATTAATTATACTTTATACGTAAAATATACCTCTGTCGGTGTACAGATGTAGTTTTTGTGAAGGACGAAGGATCACCAGATGATATTTTTTGTAATCACACATGTTATTTGCTTAAGTTCTTTATAAAAGACCTAATAACCATTGCGCCACCGAGCTCCTCAATATTGCGCCTTTGATGAATTAAATAATATTTTTATTTAATTCATCAAAGCGGCAATATTGAGGAGCTTGGTGCGTCGAGTGCGTCGAGTCTTAGTATCGTGTACGCAAATAAATCATAAATTGGTAACGATTAAAGATATGGTATGGTTTCAGGCAATGATTCACTGGCTTTAGCGATGTATCTGATTGGCAAGTATGCTATAGCAGTGGTGATGACGTCAGTTTATGTGTACACGGCCGAGCTGTACCCTACCAAGTACAGACACAATCTGTTCGCCTTCTCATCCATGGTTGGAAGACTTGGATCAATCACCGCACCGCTCACACCTGCTTTGGTACGTATGATACAGAAATAATCTATTATCGGAAGTATGATATATATATTATCGATAGGATGATATTCCCTATAGTAAATTATTAGTTTTTATCTTTAATTTTTGAGAGGGTTTTTTTCTAGCAATACTACCCCTGTAAATACAACTCAACTAGTATAAGCTTAATCTACGTCTAATGTTTGACTCAGTTTTTTGGCTGCATCAACAACCGATGTTGGTGCAGCCAAAATGCTGCTTTAGAGTCCGCTTTCACAATTAAATCGCAAATACTGTAGAAGTTATTTTTATTTTTTATTTTTTTATAAAATGGAGGGCAAATGACTGCGCTCCACCTGATAGTAAGCGGAGGCGCAGTCCAAACGCGAGGACTGCACTAGCCAACCTCACCTTGCCGACCTGCAAGGTGCTTCTTCACGTCCCACTTGAAGGACCCCATGTCACAGGAAGGAGGGAATACATGGGCCGGGAGACAATTCCATTTTTTGGAGGTTCGACAAAGAAATGAGTCGCTAAATTTCTTTGTACGCGAAGGAATCGTTGCCACAGTTAGTTGGTGGCAACGCAAACCAGCACGTGTGGTCCTGAGGAGGAAGGGAGATGGGGGGATAAGAGAAAAGAGTTCTTCAGAGCATTCACCATGGTAGAGACGGTAGAAGACGCTGAGCGAAGCAACGTCTCGGCGCAGTTGCAGGCTTTCTAGGTTCTTGGTGACTTCGCCATTGCCAATAATGCGTACTGCGCGGCGCTGCAATCTATCCAAAGCATCGAGTAAGTACCTAGCGGAGCCATCCCAAAGGTGCGAGCAATACTCCACGCATGACTGGACCTGCGTTTTGTATAGCAGGCACAGTTGTTCGGGCGTGAAAAAACGCCGCACCTTGTTCAGGACACCGAGTTTACGTGATGCTGTTTTAATGACAGACTCGATGTGGTTTTTTGGATTCAGATCACAGCGCACTTCCATCCCGAGCATGTTGATGCTGCTCTGTAGAGGCAAGGTTGTGCCCTGAAGAGAGGGAAGGGAAGGGAATGGAGGGGTCTTGGCGATAAATACGCAAACCTGAGTTTTCTTGGCATTGAACTCAACCAGATTTTCAGCACCCCATTTCGATATGAGATCCAGAACGTGATTGACAAGATTCTCTCTTTTTTCCAGGATTTCCGCCCGTCTGATCGTAGGAGCCCCGTGATACCCCACATGCACTGTACTATCGTCTGCATAGCAATGGATATTTCCAAGTGGAAGCATGTCATTGATATGCAGCAGAAAAAGAGTAGGGGATAGAACGGAGCCCTGAGGCACTCCGGAATTGACTGTCATAAGCTGTGAAGAGCATCCGTCAGAAAGAACACAGATTTTACGCTCACGCAGGAAGTCGGCTATCCAGGCGCAGAGTTGAACGGGCAGACCGTAGGCCAGAAGCTTGGAGAGAAGTCCCTTGTGCCAAACCCTGTCAAATGCCTTAGCAATGTCAAGACTGACAGCCAAGGACTCGCCGCGCTTGTCTATAGCTTCACCCCAGAGGTGCATGACGTGCGCTAGAAGATCACCCGTTGATCGTTTTGGTCTAAAGCCATACTGACGATCATTTACAAGGTAGTGATCTTCTAGGTATCGGATCAGTTGGGAGTTTATAATCCTTTCCAGAACTTTACACAGCACAGAGGTGATAGCTATAGGGCGGTAGTTTGCAGGGTCTGACCGATCTCCCTTTTTGGGCACTGGCTGCACAATGGCCTCTCTCCAAGCCTCAGGCACATGACCCGAAGAAAGAGATAGCTGATATAGGCGCGTAAGTACGGGAGTCAACTCCGCTGCACACATTTTTACAACAACCGCAGGTATGCCATCAGGACCACTAGCTTTCCGGACATCGAGTGACTGTAGTTCCGCACGCACATCACGCTGCCTGATATGAATATCAGGCATAGTGAAGCCACAAGAAGGTAACGTTGGTGGCAGTGCATTACAGTCATCGATTTGGGAATTAGCCGCGAAGAGGTCTGCTTTCTCCTGCGGCTTGTGAGCTAATGTTCCATCTGGACATCGAAGCGGTGGCAGCGAAAGCTGGCAGAAATTGTAACGTAACATTGCAGGCCGTGCTGTCTCTAGGAGTTGGTGGACGGCATTGAGGTTGGCATGTAGTCCCCGTATATTTGAGAACTCAACCTCGAACAGCGAAGGCGTGGGGTTGTGCACCGCTGTACGACCAGAATGTGTTGCTGTGGCTGCCATAAGGATGAGGAGTGAGGAGACGTGAAGCGGGAGGGCATTGCCTCGACTGCTCCAGTCAAATATATGGGCGCCTGTTTCCCCAGGTGTTGCCCACAGAGGAGTAGCACCGATCCGCCAGACGGAAGGGCCCCCGTACCCTCCCGGAAGTGGCCGCCGGGACCCACGCTCCGGTCACCAACCGGCACGACGGTCCACCCCAAGATTATGCGTGGCATGATAGGGCAGCCTCACGAGCTGGTTAGGCACGCTTGGGCCCTTGTACTGTACCACGGGCGGCCAGCGGTCAGCCGTTTCTACGGGTCTCCCTGGCTGGCGGGTCGATGCAGTCCTCCTGGCACTGGTTCGACGGAGGCACCCACCGGACCGAAACAATCGCGGCAATACTGTCCCGAGCTCTGGTTGTACGTTGGCTGATGTCGAAACGCGCTCTATGAGCGAGCACTTCACGGGTTTTTCACCACGTGTGTAAGGTGGTAACTAACCAGGCGGGATTAAACCCTACCACCAGTTGCGAGCAGATCTGAGCTCGAATTCCTTTAGTCTCCTCTTACGACACCCACAGGAAAGGAAGGGGCGGTGAGTTATGTATTCTTTCTCCGTCACCGCACGGAAACCGCACGGATTATGTCCACTCCGACTCATTTCTAGCACATAATATTATTATTTTGTTACTAAAATCACGTAAACTGTTTCTAATTATACTCTCGTGAACATTTATGTACATCTTCTTCCTTATTTTTATTATAGACGGGTGTTATATACAGTCGCACGGGTGTTATAACAGCACGTGAAGTTACACAAAGTTACCAAAACTTTCCTCTTCATTTAAATGTCATTAAATTATAGGTAGAGTTCAAAATTTCATGTATTTTAGAGAAAAGTACTAATTTTAAATTAATCATATCTGTGTTTTGGTACACAATGTCCTAAATAACTATTCTTATGAATCAGAAAAGCGGGTGATTTAAAAAAAAAAAAAACAAGCGCGAAATAATTTTAACATTCAAAAGAATATAATCATGTAGTAAGTTCTATAATATTAATCGATTTAGCAACACACTGCACTAAACACGTCCGTCCCGTCCGAGCGCTCGAAACAAAGTGAAAAGTCGGCCGGCTACGTCATCCAACCGTCTATTAAAAATTCCGGTGGTAGGGGAATTCATAAGACTATTTATATACGCTATCTTGTCAAAAAGTTCATAAAACGTTCGTAATATTCTTCAGGCGCAGGAGGTATGGCAGAGCCTACCATCGGTGCTGTTCGGTAGCTTTGCGCTTCTCTCAGGCGGGCTCATTTTCACCACGCCGGAGACCCTGGGCACCACATTACCCGATACCATCCAGGAGGCGGAAGAGCTTGGTTCTGGAAGCAGACGTTGATACTCATCATTAAATATAATTATTATTTTCATTATATATTTTATTTCGATACAACATCAAAATTCCCAAAATGTGTTCAAGCACTTTATCTAAGTTATCTTAAAGTAACGAAATTATAGTGTAAGCTTTCATTATTTTAAAAATAATCAGAAAACTAATCTTTAGAAATTACTACTCTAGCGTTCAGTTTAAATTAGTAATATATCGAAATAGGAAGTAAATATAAACGAAACGAAGTTAAACAAAGTCGTGCGCAAAAGCTAGTCCGTATGGTATAATTACTTTATGCCACATTGTAACCATTTTGTTACTTACTTAAGATTAAGTATACTTATCTGTGAAAAATTAACGTCCCCACTGCAGGGGCTCAGGCTTATAGATGGTTAAAGTGGATGCGCCATGACACTCCACACTGGCACAATGCGGTTTGGTGGGTATTAACGACTGCAAATGCAGCCGGGACCAACGCACGGAGTAGCTTGAGATAATAGTTTTTTTAGTCACCCATCCCGTGACCGACCCTTGCGAAAGTTGCTTAACGACAACGATCGCGGGTCGCGGTGCTTATCCACTACGACATCGAGCTACTTTATCAAGTGATCGCGATATACGAATACACTCGAAATATCATTGACGTGTATATTTATGACGACAAAATATTTTGTAATCTATTAAACATTGAATGCAATTTTTAATTTATCATTTACTCAAGTATCGACCGGTCGATAGCTAGATTTATTTGTTTTTAATATATTTAATATTTAAAAAAATATATATTTGATTAAAAATTATTAATTACAATCGTGATTGAATCTGAAATGGAAATAGATAAAAATGATATTAAAAATTCAAAAGAAGATGAAATGAAACCTGTGTTAGACTTGGACAGTCTATTGTTGCACGAGTTGGGGCAATTCGGTTGGTTCCAATTGAAGTTTTTGTTGCTTGTGCTGGTTGTAGTTTTATTTACAGGCTGTGCAGCAAGCGAATATATATTCACAACAGCAAGAATCCCAACGCGGTGAGTAGAAAATCTCGTCACTTTAATATTATTATAAAGAATTTTCATGATCTGATCATTATTTCCGAAAATTACGCCCTACAAACAAACTAAGTTGAAAACTTTTTCTTTCTATAATATTAGTATAGAAATGTTTAATTAAAAAAATGCAATTAAGTAAATGTTGAAAATATTCTTTACTCTTTAAGACGACACTTAAAAATTAAGAATACATTTCCTTATAATGGGCTCAAGAAACATATAATCTCTTATTAGAAACAGCTACATTTATATTAATAAATCGCACTACGGAATAAATAGCAATATTTTACACATTATTGTATTTCATTGTATTTCATCTTCAATCACTAATTTCAATATTATGGATTAATAAAAGATTAGGGGAATACATAATTCTAACGTACTTTATTAGAAATTTTGTAGTCTGGTCTTGTACTGATAACGCATTTACGTTATCAGAGCATGGCCAAACTTAAAATGTATCTAGATTATCGTTGCCATGCACTTAGGTAATCTAAATCTATATTATAAAGAGGGAAGACCTGACTGTTCGTTTGCATTGAATAGACTCGGAAACTATTGAAGTTATTTTAAATATTCTTTCACATATGGGAAGCTCCTTCATATACAGGTCATAAAAGCTATAATTAACGTGGTCGAAGTTGCGGAAAAACAGCTAGAAATACAATAAATCATATGTGTGCAGCGTACATTGTTGGGTATAAAACAAGTCTTAAATTATAAAGATGATACATTTGGAAACCCAACAATGGTATCGGTAATATACGACACTAAGGCTATACTATAAAATTTTGACTAATCATTTACTTAATTAATGAATATTATGTATTGACCTTTTATTAGGCTTAAACCGCATTACGATAAAGTTCAAGTCTGAAACTTTAGGGTTTGTAACAGATAGTCTTCTTGTACAATCACATGCAGGTGAGTGAAAATGTAAGCCTATATTCATTACCCTGTTTAGCCTTTCGCAGCTATATCTAATTTGTGTGCATTTAAACGCAGTATGATCTTGTTCGACTGACGACATTTGTTTTTCATATTAATACAATGATTAGTGCTTTATATCTGATCGATTTAATTCCATGTAGCAATTTAATTCATGATAATAAAATCAATATTATAAGATCTATTTGAGAGCTTTTTATCGTATGTTCCTCAGATGCCACATACCAGAATGCGATTCAGATAGCCCCATATTTAGGCCTGATTGGCTGTTGAACGCAATTCCCGGTACCAGCGAAACAAACTTCGATAATTGCAACCGATTTGCTAACAGCACATCTGAAGTATTAGCTAATGAATGCCCAGCCGGTTTATTTAACAAAGACGAGCTGGTCAGTTGTGAAAATTATGTTTATGAGAATACTAACTCTGTGGTGTACGATGTAGGTAATTTTAATGCTATAGCTGCATATGACTAACCTTACATATTGATTGCTACATCAATAATTTTCTTGTGGAAGTTCGACTTAGGTTGCGATGACTGGCGGCGCTCATTGATTGGCTCAATCCGCACACTGGGCACTATGGTGTGCTTGCCTCTCACCGGGTTCATCTCAGACCGCTGGGGCCGCCGCATCGCTGTCGCTTTTTCTGCCTTTAACGCCTGCTGGTTGGGTGCGACGAGATACTTCGCCAATACATATATCGTATTTGTTTTCTTGCAATTTCTAGAGTCTTCATTAGGAAACGGTGCATATACAGCTTGTTTTATTCTCTGTAAGTAATACTTCTTCATATCAAACAGCACGTCTAGGATGATAATAACTTGATTTTAATATAAGCAAAAGCTATTTTTTTATTATTTAAAACACTTTCGTTTTCAGTGATGGAAATTGTTGGGCCCAAATATCGTGTTATCATCGGGACCTTGACGCAGACCTTTTTCTCAGTGGGTCAAGTGACAGTGGGCTTGATAGCTTGGGTTGTCCCTGATTGGAGGAATCTCACTCTCATTATATATTTGCCACAAATAATTTCAGTATCATACTTATGGATCATGACCGAATCTATTCGGTGGCATATGAGCAAAGGCCGTTATGATAAATCTGAGGAAACCCTTCGGAAAATGGCTAAAGCAAACGGTAAAGTTCTATCCCAAAAGTCTTTGGATGCGTTAAAGAACTCTGCCCAAGAGTTTAAAATAAAACAAGATATGATGAAAGAAAATATGAAAAACGAGCCTTGGTTAATAGCAATAGTATTTCAGCATAAAGCAATACTAGTTCGTTGTATTGTGTCCCCGATTTTGTGGGTGACGATGACATTCGTATACTACGGGATGTCAATCAACGCCGTGAACTTATCAGGGAACAGATACCTGAACTATGTAGCCGTCTCTATGGTTCAGATTCCTGGTTATTGGACAGCTATGTTCCTACTCGATAGAATTGGAAGGAGGCCTGTGCTGATGGGGGCTTATTGGATCTGTGCGATATGCCTGTTGGCGTATATATTTGTTCCGGAAGGTAAGCATCAAGAATATCATCAATAAAATGATGAATTAGGAAATTAAACATGGGTGTTTCTGTTCAATCTATCGTAAAAATCATACTCTGTAAGACGATATTAATTATATCGGTTTTATTAATTTATCATATTTCTAGGTCAATATGTGGTATCCTTGTGCTTGTACCTGATTGGCAGTTACTGCAGCGCCACCGTGGTCACAGCACTATACATCTACACCACTGAGCTGTATCCCACTAAGTATCGCCATCGGTTGTTTGCCTTTTCATCTGCTGTCGGCAGGATCGGTTCTCTCTTGGCACCACTGTCTCCGGCATTGGTAAATTTAGATATTTTTATTTCAATAATATTACTAGGTTATTAATTTCTTATATTTTCACGTAAAACACACAAATGACATAACTTTTAAACGGTTTCATAGCGTTTTTACTTAATTTTATTAACGTTTTCCCCTTTTTTGACCCTTTACCCTTTACAGGTTCTGAGTTAATGTAAGACTTAGGATTTGATTGTCTTTTTTAATTAAGAATTACCTTCAAAACAATACCATTGGACATATTCACAACACAAAAAAAAAATGGAAACGTTTACATTTAATAAATAATACATTTGACTTATTAATTTACTCCCGGCTACCGTAATCTACCACCTGCCCTGCGATTCTGTAAAAATCCAGACCCGAATTCGAATTCACTCATGTGTCCGAATTCACGTCATTTAGTGTAAAAATTCTACTGATTCCATTTTTTTTTTGTATAAAAATACAAAACAAAAAATACACGTGTCTCAGATATTCTATTCCTATATCATTTCGAAACTCACTTCACTTATGCCAGAAAACATTATTACCAATTCAAGTTGAGCGTATGCCTCTTTTTGAAGTCAATTCGGACACCTGAGAGAATTCGAATTCGGGTTTGGAGTTTTACAAAATCGTAGTGCTGTTCTAAATTTGGGAATCTTATCCGAGAAGAACTGGCGAAACAAACTCCGACAAAAAAAATGAATTGCTCCTTATGATTTAATATTAACAGAATGAACTAACTGTACCCTTTGGTTTTGCAACGTGTGATCGTGATTGAGATTTTACCTGTATTTGACTAATAACTGAATCCCAAGCTGGTGGTATATGCCAACCTTCATCTCTATTAAAATTCGGAAATTCGTAGCCTCGCGTATCGTTCACAATAATACGTTACCAGTTTTTATCTGTTTTAGGGTGTAGAAGTATGGGAGTATTTGCCATACGTGCTCTATGCTTCTATGGCGGGTATATCAGGATGCTTGCTGTTCTTCACACCTGAAACCCTTGGCTCGAAGCTGCCAGATACCATGGAGGAAGCCATCAATATAGGAAAGAAAGTAAACACAAAATCATAAATTTGGGTATTTTTTGGTTAGTTACTAAAAAAAGTGAATAACAATCTAATTCAGTCAGTAATTCATATTGTAGAATGTATATAAAAATAGTTTTATCATTCATATTTTAATTTATTTTCATTCACATACATATTTACTTAAGTTGCGTAGAATATCTTTAAATACTATTTTAATAAGTGTCCTTCTGTAAAATTATTAAGAATTGTGAAAATAACCAACTTGACATTGTTAAAAAACTTAATTTATTTGACATTCCTACAATGATTTGACCTGCATAATTTAGACCTTTGTATTTAATTTGAAATGCTTATTGTAAAAGACTTGCCGAGTGTAACTTTCTGAGTTATATGGCCAATAAATGATTTGATTTGAACTAGTTTAATGATTTGCAATAGAATAAACTAACTGCCTTTCCTAAGTGATCATTTTAAATGCCATGCTATCATCACTGTGTGTAACAGCTTTTAAATCATCTTTTTCTTTTTTGTTGTAATATAAAAATTAAATGAAATTAAACTTCACTAATATGGCGCATTGCGAAGAATTCTGATTATTCTGAGATTTGTGAAAATAAAAAATTCTTTATTTGAACAAGCACTTTTGAACCGTCGTCGTTTCTTTATAATCCTTTCAGAATGTCATCCAAAAATGATGATTAAAAGAAGACAAGAACGAAAGATACAAATTTGCCAGCCCTTATCAGATTAACATCAATTATGCCACTACTAAAATATTAAATATATAATAAATTGTGGTTCTAGGTTTACGTTCGTGGGAGTGAGGCAAGCTATTTGAATAACTACGATTGGCTAGAATTTGCTGCACTTTCCTTTGGTTTTATACCGTTTGGGCTTTTTACAGTAACGGATCGTTATAGATTTAATAATTTACAATAATGTAAAAAAAATGTTTAAAATTTATAGTTAATATAGTATAATATTTTTTTTTAGTTTTTTGTAAGAGAAGCTAAACAAAATAAATCTTTTGTTACTGTAACGGTATATTTACAATAAATTATATTTTGTTTATCGTTCAATAAATTTATGATTTGATCTTTTCTTTATGTTAAACATTCCTAAGACAATTGATTTTAAAGGGATTTTGTACCGGGCGTTACAAAAATACCCGTTAACGTTAACGTTTTAAATTTGGTAGAGTTAATGTGACATGATAATCGCGCCGAAACTGTGCAACCCTGCTTCTTTAGGTTCTTTAAGATGAACACTTTTTATTGTAATAGTTATTAAATCTTTTAATTTAGTCAAATACTCATAAATTTGTTTAATAGATAGCTTAAAAGACAACGGTTATGTATAGCAGCTGGTATTTAAGTGGATATGTAGCAAATTAGCCGTCAGTCTGAAGAGTAACACGATTGTTTATATTTTGTCACAAATTATTGGTATACTATATTTTTATGGTTAAAAAGAACCTTATTTAACTTCAGCTAATGCTATAATTAATGAAGTATAATTTAGTTATTTAGTTTTATTTATTATATTAGCTGTGCCCGCGACTTTGTCTGCGTGGGAAAGTATATCAGGAGAATTGTTTCTTTCCAATGGTTGGGATCGAATCGAGTAGGATTAACGGACCATAACACACTACGCGGGCCCAATGTCAATTGGTGGGTGTTAACGACAACCCATGCAGCCGGGACCATCGGCTCTACTTCATTCCGAAGCAAGGAGGAGCTCAAGATAATAATGTTTTGGTCATCCACCCGATAAACGGCCCTTACGTTAGTTATTTTTCTAAATTTTTTATTACTTCTCTCTCTGCTCTTGTGTCTGACCGTTTTTATCGTACTATTAGGTATACTCGAATTAATGATACTTGAGCTGTCTCAGCTGTTCTTATTTTGATCTTTTTAAAATGTCTTTTTTTAATCTGTCTAGTTGTATGCGCAAACAATTATTTTTAGTCATGTTTATCCATCCAATTCTAGGTTGCCTGAAAGAAATCGCTGGCTAGCGCTAAGTTTGTCTTTAGTTAGTACATAGTTATAAATTTTATGTATGAAATATATATATATATATATATGTATTTTTGTGTCATTCTCATGTTGTGCAATAAAGACTTTACTTACTAACTAAACCGAATGTGCTAACCTCTAATCTTAAAAAGAGGAAAAATTTCATTGTTTTTTTGCATCGAATTGGTTCCGAAACCACAATACCGATTTTAAGAATTCTTTCACCTACGGGAAGCAACGTCATACACGGGTGAGATAGGTTATAATTTACGCGGCTAGTTAACAGTTACTTATATAGGTACACTTGTGATGGGGTACAGGCATGTTGAAGGCAACACCGATTGGCGATAATAGAAACTACATAGGTACTTTCTCGCTCTCTATACTGCAAAGCTCGAGCTCCCTAAGAGCTCGACCGCATTTCTCTATCAAAATAAGTTTCAGACTCAAACAATACTGCATAATGTGTTACGATCAGCAGTTAGACGTGCTAAGTTATCTTCAGAAGTTTTCTAAGATCAAACGCTTGTTGTATGAGTTCTCAAAGAGCTCAATATATTTGCCCTAACAACGAATGCTCCAGATTCAATTTGATAGTGCATGAGCGTCGTGATGGGCATTTAAATACTATCAAGTATCTCCTGTAACCGAGCGCTTCCTGTCCAAACTTTCTGAAAGCTCAAGGGACTTTGTTTGTCACTAAACGTCTTAGGGTCGACACACATGCTGCCACGTTTCTTTCATCAGACATGCGCGTCTTATTTGTGCGCAGAACGTCATAGAACTGAAATAATAAATTATATTAAATTCGACCTTGCAAACTTGACGGAAATCGTGTACTTTATATTCACGGAAGTAGACATATACTTTATATGTCTACTTACGTGAGGTGCTTGACTGACCTACATTAATTTTGCACCAACCCTCAAACTCATGTAATATTGCATGAGCCTCATGAGCGGTGAATAAACCTGTATCTCCAGTGAAGACTGCAAATACCAATTTTAAACTAAAGCGATTTGAATGTAAAAAAAAAAACAAAAAGAGTAACATAAGACTATAAAGAGGAAAAAAAATATAACATGAGTTGTCCTCGTTCATTCGAGAATGGTGTGAACTCAGTTTAGATTCACGCTGAGCCAAAGTTTCTGTAGGGCGTAACCGGGCCTAAAAATTTCCTACGTCTCGCTGCAGGATATTTTCAAGAATCTCATGTCATACAGGATATTTTCAAGAATCCCGGATTACCCACCTCTGCTGGGTAACCCGGGGTATGCAGTAATGCATTTCCCAGGCGTCAAAAAAAAAGGGGGCGAGTAGGACTCTACTTCGTGAACCCACCAACCGCAGCCGAGTCACCAGAACACTCAAGTATTGGACAATTGGTTCCATCGCATCGAGAGCCTTTTTTTTTTGACGCTGAGAAATGTGTTACGCATACCCGCTTCACCCTGCGCGGGCTCCTCGGGTGATGTGGGACTCCTCCTGTGGCTCCACCCCCGAAGGGGCTAGACAAGAAACAGGAGTTTACCCACTAAAACTCCGCGATGTCCCTCGCATGGAAGGCGATGCGCGGGATCGGCCCGAAGGCCATACACCACGCCGTTCGCCCCCATTTTGGCCCGCCCTGAAAAGGGCTGGTCCCACAGCGGGTTGGGAGTACGTCTCAGAGACATTCGAGACGCACCCCCACGACGAGATAGGAGCGAGCAATGCCGACCGGTGCGCGAACCGGCCAGCTGCCCCTTACTAGAGACCAGAGATGCGCAACGGTGGAATCTCCGGTCCCCACCCATCGTGTTGGGAAGATCCACATAGGCAGAGCCCTTATCGTGGATCCCCCCCCCCAGGTCGATGCGCCACATAAGACCAACCACATCACGTCCTGTATCAGCTCCGAGGAGCAGACAGGGCGCGTCCAGCCGGTCGACGGGTCGCTCGTCGGGTAGATGTGAGTCTGTAAGATGCATGAATGTGTGTGTGAAAGTATGTATGTATGCCGGTGTGTGTGTAGCTGGAAATGTGTGACTGTATGTGTATGTGTTGTGTAGGGTAGAGTAGAGT